AAAATTGTTATAAAATATATAATTCTAATAAAAATAGATAAGTTATAATAAGTATTTATTAACACAAACATCCGATACGCTACTGAAGCAGGTAAGTCAAATTAACGTATCTAAATTCTTTGACATCTAATCTTTGACAAGTAATAAATAAAAGCTAAAAATGCAAGAAAAATATATAATTTAGTTAATTTAAGTGAATTTCATAAATGATCGGTTTACTACACGTATGTATATTATATAGTCACTTACTAGCGAAAAGTTGTTCCATTATTTCACTCAATTTTGCCGAGATCTAACGCTACACAACCAACTATTTTAGAGTCTTTTCGATAAATCGCGATAGTGTCACTGTTAATTTAAGTTCTGCCACAATTTCCAGCTAGATTTACTACCTTTATACAACTATCAGTAGTAGAATAAATGATAAATAACATAAAATAAGCTCCGTAAAGAATGACAAATCCACAAAATTTCAAATCAAATTCAAATGTGTCAAATGAATCGTCAAACAGAACTGTCAAGGATCCCCACCCTAGAGAGCTTTTATGGTGGCTTTTCCGCCCACCATGCATGAATACATGGATAGCATTATGCTCCTTCCTTAGTCTTCTTATTCAAAGTCTCTTCTAGTGCCGTAACCATGGTAATATCAGAGATTAACAAATTATACCGTGTGAAAATTGGGTGAACAGGCAGTTCTAAAAAGTTTTCTAAAATATACAGGAAAATTTAAAAGAAAATGCACGATTTTCAACATCTTTTTTTGCGGAAAAAACTCATAGACGTGTTCCTGGGATCGAAATATATTACCCCTGAAAATAATTTCACTTATTCAAGACTCACCCTGTATAATAGGTTTGAAAATTTGGTATTTTTGGAATATATAACATCATCACCAGACACACTGCTAGGTGATTGAGATTAAACGATGTCACTCTATAATACTTTACTATAATAATTTAAAAAAAAAATATTTTATGAGAAATTTCCTCAACATGTATGTATGTATATAAACTTATTTGCGTTATTTGCATACATATATAGCAATATTTTATAGATACACTTTATATTCTTCAAATTTTGTTGAACAAAAAGAAAAAAGTGAGAAGATAGATAGATATTATGTGAAAGAATATAGTATAACCTTCGTCACAAATCAGCAAATTTTAGAAATAAATACGTAAATTTGGTGTTGTTTTATAACCCATTATATTACATAAACCATATCCGCATTAAAATTGCTCAACCGTATTCCCAAACATGATTTTGAAAGAACATCTTGTTTTTTTTGTCGTATTTTTGTTTCTTAGAAGCGCAGATCTCATATTTAGGTATTTTTACTTTCTATGTTATTCTTAGAAAACGATTTAGTTGAATTGAAAGCAAAAGTAGAATAAAAAAAATTTTTTAGAAACATAAAATATTATTTCAGCAAAATCATTAATTTATATTTAATATCTTAATATTGATATAACTAAAAAGTACGTATGATAATCTTTTTATTAAAATGTATTCATTTATTTTTGTATTTTGTTAAAAGATATTATTAGAAGATTGTATACCTCCTGTTATGTATTTCTTTATAAAACAATGGTTTATGTTAATTTAACTTGACAGAATCTATTACCTACACGAACATGGGAGTAGCCAACATTAAATGAGCAATAATTCGGTATGTAAACAGACTTTAATTATTGTTTATTTTGTCTATATGGCTAAATTTAAACGGCGTTACTTGTTAAGTGGTTTTAGAGATAGCCAACAATTGTATATTTTATGGCGATATTGTAAAAATGACGCCAGTATAGTTTTAGTGCTCTCGAGGGAACCTTTAGATATATTAGTGTATTTACTTAATATTCTCCTAAAAGGTATTTTTTTATTTATTTTAGTGTTTATTGCGTTTTAAAACATTAGAAACTAGTGGACCCGGCTAATTTCGTACATTTTTAGTGAAGTGATGTGAGAGTTTTTTTGTCAATCTTGTAATGCGAGAATGATTGGGGCCAATCGATTTGGCAGTGTTATTTGTTCTTTATATTTTTGTTTACATGTTGTTTGTTTCTAGTGTTGTGCTATTTATTACAATGTCTTTTCTGTCTATCAGTTTGTTGTATAGTACTTTAGGTTTTACTAAATTTAATTTGAGACCTATCTTATTATTGGCTATACTTAGTTCGTTAATTTGTGCTGGTAATTCTTTATACTATTGGCAATTATTGACTTTATACAATAATTCAAAGTTGATTTCATTAATAAAAAAACGACTATCCACCATATTTTATTGAAAAAACATTAAACGAAATACTAACCCGAAATCATAGACACAACGATAACAATACACAATATATACAACTTACAATTCCATACATACGAGGCGTTTCGGAAAAAATAAGAAGGATAGGAAAACAATATAACATACGAACATCTTTCAAAACCCAAAATACACTTAGATCCATTTTATCACATACTAAACCAATGAATACAGAACAACAAACAAAATATGTAATATACCAAATACCATGTGAATGCGATAAATTTTACATTGGTGAAACATCTAGACCCTTAAATGTTAGAATTAAATAACATAAAGAGTATTTAAGAAAGGAAGATTTTCACAAATTTAAGATTTGTCGACATTCATGGGACACAGGGCACAGAATAAATTTTAATAACGCCAAAATTATAATGAAAGAAGCGATAGCCTCTAAAAGAAAAATAAAAGAGGCTTTTTTAATACAATCTAATAAAAATAAATGTATTGCTCATGCATCTGTAGATATTAGTAATGTATGGCAATCGCTTCTTTGATTTTAAAGAACATAACATAAATCAACATAACATACGTAAAATTTAAAAATAATCATACAGAAAGTTTGGGGCTTTTTGGTTTTACCTTATTAAGTAATTTTTATCAGTAGTAATTGGTAATTTTGAAGTTTAACTTGATATAATATTATTTTAACAGAACGTCAACGGTTTTTGTAGACGTATGTATCTGTTTTATAAAACTAAAGTGTTCTCGAATAGTTGAATTTAAATATTTTAAATAGTTTTTTTCTTTATTCTTTGTATTTTTTTGCTTCCGACGACGGAAAGATATAAATTTTCCGAAACGTTAAGCATTTTTTTGTTTCTTAGGTAAATTTGTATAACTGTAAACCTAACTTCTGACAAGTAGTTTCCATTTGGGTTTAACGCAGAAGTGTTTACAAAAAATAACTATTTTATTTTGTAAATTTTCTTGCAGTGGCGAAGTATAGTACAATTCTTTTAAAAGTTTCTCAATATGGCCGACCTAGTTACGAAAATTGGTAATTTTTTTTAATGAAAAATAAGTTGGCGTTAGCGAATTCAGAAATTGATTTAGTCTTTGGTTAACAATAACATTTTTCAGGATTGTCAAGATGGCGTTAAAGTTAGGTTATTAGGTGGTTGTCATAAATAAAAACATAGATTATTGAAATGATTTAATAAGAATAAAGGTATTTTACCGCAGATCCGAAGAGATTTTACTTAAAGGTATTTTATAAACTTTCTCAGTGAGAATATTAACTCCCCTGTTTCTTATATTTCAGAAAAGGGACGTAAGAACTATAATAGGAAGTGAATTTTTGTTTTCATGTTTTGACGATATCTGAGAGCTCCTAGAATTATCAAGATTATTGAATAATTATAGTTGTTTAATAAGTGAAATTAATAGAAGACTCTTGGAAATAGGAGATGATGCGTTTCATGTTATAGTTTATAGATCACCTCATTTCTCTTAATTTGTTTTTATTTCAGTACAGTTAATCACAAATTGAATTGATGTGTGCAAAAACAGCTATATGTATATTTTCAAACATCTTATTTAAATAGTTCTTTTATATACTGTTAAACTGTATCAACTACAAAGTCTTTAGCAAAAAGTTATGAGGTAATAAATTTTGTAGATATAATTTATGAAAATTTATATATAAAGATCAGAACACAATCCTCTGAGTGAAAAAGAAATACTCAAAAACTCATTAAATATACTTTATTAAAAATAACAACATACAAAAACATCCATGCAAACTGTAATAATCAGAACATTATCCACATTATACCTTTTTTAAATTTGTGTTCACACTCCTCTCAGGAAAGCCAGAAATGTTTGTTTAAATATTAACTTATTTTAAATTGCCAGAAACACATCAGAATATGTCACAACCACAACTATAAGTTTGGAATCAGTACTAAATTTTATACCTAGTAAGTAATGTGTCAACTAACAAGTATAGGATAAAAAAGAATTATTAATATAGAGTATACTATACAATGTCCTTCTGTCTCTACAAAAACTCAAAAAATAATGAAAATATTTAGAAAAGGGAACCGTAAACGTCAATGTCAGCCAAGTGTCAGAGTTGACTTCAATTGGATTTACCACAGATTATCAATTTGAACGATTTGAACTACAGTCGATTCCAGTTTAGAGATTTTCGTTTTTTAAGCCTCCCATACTGAAGTCCGCCATATTGGGAAGTTTTAAATGAATACAAGTATTTGGAGAGATGAATCCGCCACAGAGGTATAAACATTTTTTAAACTGACTTGGTTTTACATGAGATCTCACAACTTTTTATAGTGGAAGAATTGTGTTGCGAGATTTGGCATTTTTTAAATTTTGTTTTTGATGAGATTAAAGTTTTTATTTTCTCTTTTCACTTCGTAAAATAGTTCTAAAGCGCGATACTACACCAGATTTATGATTTTCAAGTCCTCATAAAATAATCGTTAAACCAATACATCCCTTTAAAGGGCTTAAAAATCCCGACCTATCTCTTAGGGTCGGCGAAAATAAAACTCAAAACGAACAACAACATTTTTTCTATTGTGATAAACTGTCTAGGCGCCATCAAAAATGGCACCGTGCCGAGAGACCGGAAGTATTCCGCGTTCTGGAGACGGCGGTGGTGCGGTCAGTTATGACCTTGTCGTTGGTCCGTCTAATCGGAATTTTGTTTTGGTTTCAGCGAGCCGCGGACCGGTCTTGGAAGCAAGCAGTGATGGTGCTCAAAGGACCAAAGTTGTTCCTGTACAAAGCCGCTCATCATCAGGTGAGTCCAAGCATGCTCAATTTTCTTATTTTGATTTTGAGATATATTGGTTACGTTTCTTGAAAACGTCTTCTAAATATTCCGCGTATATTGAAGAAACTTTTTATTACTTAGGCTATGAGGGTTACTTAGGCTAATAAGGGCAAGTATTTTTTCCACCCCCAAAACACGTCTATGAGGTTCTTTTTGTGAAAAAAAATAAAATTTTGTATACCCGGTGCGTCTCAAAAGTGGCTCACCCCTATAACTTTTTAAACGAGATTTGGTATGTTAGTATGTGACATAAATTAGGATTGATTGACGTATTCAATTATTTTTGGTCACTTCCTGTTTCACCGGAAATGACTACAACTTTTGATTTTTAAATGACATCCTCGGTGTTTTTTTACTTTATTCGATAAAAAATGACATTCTGAATAGAATGACATATCATATGTCAACTTTTGACATTATTGCTTAATAAAAAATTGTATTTTAAAATTCAATCTAGAGTGCCCTGGCTATGTTAAATACACTAATTCTTAATTAAGGAGCCTTGGCAAAATAGATTTGATCGTCAATGTTTTTACTGTCTTGTCCTGGCCAGTTAGAAAATGCTCAAATCGTAATTTTAATCATATCTCAAATTTTTCAAATGGAACGATGGTGGCTCATTAGCATATTTGGAAAAAGCATTTTTTTACGAATAATTTGATACCACACACTTGGTATTTCGAGTCAAATTTTCTTTACGAACAGCAAGTTATAATTTCAAATAAACCATGTGCGAAAATGTCAAAAGTCGACATATGATATGTCAGTCTATTCAGGCTGTTATTTTTTATCGAATAAAGTAAAAAAATATCGAGGGTGCCTTTTAAAAATCAAAAGTTGGAGTCATTTCCGGTGAAACAGGAAGTGACCAAAAACAATTGAATTCATCAGTCAATCCTAACTTATGTCATATACTTACATACCAAATCTTGTTTTTTATCTAAAAAAAAATAAAAAAGTTATAGGAGTTAGTCATTTTTGGGACACACCCGGTATATTATAAATTATACAAATGTGCAAAATACCATTAAAAAGAAATACATCGCGATTTTGTATATCCGTTGCACAAGGCACATTTTATAATAGCCTGTGAAGTGTATCCTGACATTATACAGGGTGTCCCCAGTGTTCGACCCCAGAAACACGCCCATGATTTAATGTTGAAAATTTTATATTTTTCTTGACATTTTCCGGATAATATTGAAAAACTTTTGAGTGCCGCTTGTTCAGTTTCCGAAAATTTGTTTATAGAGCTTTATGAGGAATGCATTGTTGCCACCTCCTACGTTATACACATTCTATAAGTTATATAAGTTCATATTTTTAAATTTCTCCAAAAAATAACTTATTAATTTTATTCACTGCAGTTTTTTAATCATTATAGATAACTTATTAAATATAGTGCAAGATCTACTATATTTTAAGTACCTTTTTTTACAATTTAAGAATTCAACAAGGGGGTTCACATTCACTTAGGGGTTCAAACGAGAAACCCGTTTTAGAGATAATGTGCGTTACGTTTTTGTAAAATAACGGACTTTCCTAAATTTCGACATGTGTTATCTATGGTTGAAGGGGTTTTATACTTGGTGAACCATCCATATCATCCTTTGGTTGGCTGGTTTTCTCGAGAAGCAAATGTTTCTAAAACATCAGCTGTTGTCTAATTCAACCGAGAATTCAACTATATTCATTAATAATCTTTATTACTATTAATAATCTTACTTTGTTTAATTTTTTTTGGTTTATAATTATTTCAGCGATTAAAACAATAATATATTTCATATTTTTTACGTATAGATAATCGCAGGAACTGTTTTTTTTTATATCACAATTCTATTGGTTCACCTTGTATTTACTAGCACACATACCTAATAAACCAGCATATGTCGCGGATTGCCGAAACCGGTATTAAATTTTTGTCCATAAAATTGTCATTTTCAAGGCAAACGCAGAGTCAATATCACAGTAATAAGACACTATAAGATGTTTACTGTTATTTAGCAGGAGATTTAAAATGTATGCAGTTGATTTTAAGAGATAATGTTTTATCAGCAGGATACAGCCAAAATAATAGTACATAATTAGTATGAAAATATTTATGAATGGTTTTACTTAATAACAAGAATTTCTAAGAAAACAGTCATAATTTAAAGTCGTTTAGGTACTTATTTATTGATCGTGAGATAAAATACAGAAACATTTTTAATTCTTGTTGTTTTAGAAATTTTTTATATATTTTTAGTTAATAATTTTTAAGTATTTGTAGTGTTAGTGTAATATTTTATTTTTTCACACCTGAGATGGGTTTTTGTTAGTTAAATTTATTTTGAAAAGCATAATTGACATGAATCTATTACAATTTTACATTTTAGTAGCTTTTGACATTGCTTACTTGTACTAAATTAATTCAAGTTTTTACTTATATTGGCTTGACCATTTAGGGTAATCACATAAGACAATTGAGGGCAATGAAAAATTAAAAGGACAATCAAAATTACGTGTTAAAGCCGGACTTATGATTCACGGTCTATAATTTACGATATCTGCTTTGTTAAATAATAAATTTAATATTCAATAATATTAAGCCGCGAAAAAGAATTATAACCCAATTAAAATGCGAGGATTCATAATATAGCTGGCTATTCGAAAGTCAGTGCTGTAATCATGTGCTTCAAATTATGTAGTTTGATACCATATTTGGCAACGTTGTGCCGGGCAATGTTAATCGAAATTTAGTAAAGATTTTGATAAAAGATTTGCTAAATTTAACTCTGTATTAACATTAATATAGGAAACAAAAACAACTTAAATGGTTATACGAGGGTTGTTTCTTATATTTTGCATATAGAGGTAGAAAAAACGGTTTTTTTGTTAGAACCATTTTCCTCTATATGCTAAAATAAAGTGGTGGGGGAAGGTTAGATCTGTCTTTATTTAAATGTTAATAACTCCAGACTCTCTCTCTCTCTGGATGATCAGAATCCAATAAACGAGGGCTCGTTTAAAACAGCGTTTTTTACTCTATATTATACCGTATAACAATAATAAGCTTTTGAATGTAGACACTAGGGGGCGCTGTCTTTAACTCATACTAAAGAGTAATAAAAGCTTAAAAAGTCAGCGAAAACCGCATCTTGATATTCTCTTTCAAACTGAAGATATTAGCAAAATTATACTAAATACGAAAAATTAAGCCCTTAATTACATTATTTTTTAATATGGGTACAGTAGCCCTCTTGATTATGAGCAATCTAATAAAAAATAAGATAGAAACGATTAGTTTATTATCAAATATACCAAAATATCGTTATACCAGATGTGTTAATATCTGATATAGTCTGTGAAATGAATAACTTTGAATTTGACAGTTCCCGTGGGCTTTTTTAGTGTTTATTTTATTAGGTTAGCAACTTGCGGCCATGCTGACGCAATGCCGTCTCTAATAGAACAGCCTCTGAGCGAGATTTATGACATCACGCTAGTTAGATACTACGGATTAATACATATGTTGTAGAATACATGGAAAACATAATTATTCCTCGTATTTTTGAATCGTATTAAAATACAAACCAAAAATACGAGGAATAGTTATGTTTTCCATGTATTCTAACACGTATTTATTAATCCATAGTATCTAACTAGCGTGACGTCATAAATCTCGCTCCGAGGCTGTTCTATTAGAGACGGCATTGGTCTGATATTTAGAAATGTCAAAAGCTGATGACATTTTACTTTTGACAATTATGACATTTCGTGTTGATTTTTGGTAGAAGAGGAAAAACTATCACTTGTTTTATTATTTTCCTTTTCTATTTCACGAAAGTAAAAAGAGTTACCGATCTGATTCGTTCAGGCACTCAATTTAAAGAATATCAGTAACTTTTTTGACAGAGGGATTTTATATTTGCCGTGTTGGTAAGAATTAACGGTCAAAATTCAAAGTTATTTATTTTATAGACTATATTTAAGATATCATTGACAGTGAATAAGAAACGACGCCTCGGTGAAGTCATGGTAGGCTTTGGAAAAAAGTTGCTTTTGGCGTAATAGTATAAACGTCAAAGTGTTATTAGATCAACATTTTGATAGTCTTAGCAGCGTTTTTTATCTTTTGAAGAAAGGTATTTTTTGAAAAGCAACCAAAAGTTAAAAAAAAACGCTGCTTAGACTATATCAATATGTTGATATAATAATATTTTGATATTTAAACTATCCCTTTAAAAGCAACTTTTTTATTAACTTATTTTTTTCTAAAAAAAGGAGAAAAGTTCTGGTAATTTTATTTTTTATACAAACTGAACTATTTGAATTTTCAAAGCTTTACCATCATCCAAATAAATAGCATTTCGATGAATATTTTTAAGTTTTGCATTATTTCCAGAATTATAGTATACTCTATAGATATAAAAACCGTGGCAAGCCACCTGATTCAATGTCTATTTAGTTGTTACCGGTAATAATAATAAACGAATATTTAAAAATAGTTAGAAACGTTAAAAGAATTTTAATGTGTTTTTTATAGTGGGACATTTAACATTGAAGATCGAACGTTTTCCATCATCCGATTTCGACCCTGCACCATTAAAAACATCGAAACGTTTTAATGTCTTTATAAATGTCGCGAAAAAAGATAATTGCCCAGAAGGACGACAGAAATTAGCCTGTTTTTGGAAATAATTCGATTTTGGGTGGGATCGTAATAACAGGGCGGTTCGGGTATCGTTTACGATTTCTTTTTACATGTAATTGACGTTAAATGGCAGCGATTTCGCCAAATTAGGCGCCAAGTTTTTTCCGTTCACGTACGTTATCGAACAAGTTGTTTTTGATATTTTTTTCAGTACACTGAAAAATCATCTATTAAATTATTTTTTAATGATTTTTTCTCTAGTGTGGCGGATGTCTTGATCGGAAATGGACAGTGTTCTACACAAGATATTCCATTTCGGATTACTCATCTGCCG